GGGCCAGCAAGTAGCATATTGTTTAGGGCACTGGATTCCCACATGGCCGAATTTGTGGTTTGAATCCTGAATCTGGTGGCTGGAAAAACACACCAGGGGCATGTGTGTATATGCCCAAGATCCCAAGAGGAGAATGGAGGAGAAGAGACTGCAGCATGGCCATATCCTGTGCCCCCCTCCCCGTCCCTGGGGTGGAGGGTGATTTCTCACTTTCCCTCTCTGGCTCTGCCTCTCCAGTAAGTGCATGTGCCTTATAGCAAAAAAAAAAACAAAAAACAAAACCCTGAGACACGGGTTGGTTTGTAGCATCATGATTAAGGTGGCTGGATCCCATATCGCTAACTGTGCAGTTCAAGTTCTGGACCTGATAGCTTGAAAAACATACTAGGCTTGGGCTGGCAGGTAGCATGGTGGTTAAGACATTGGACACTTCCACATGGTCAACCACTGTTCGAGTCCCAGACCTGGTGGCTTGCTTTCTCACTTTCCTTTTCTCTGTGTGTCTGTCTTTCTCTGGTCAAATGAAAAGGACTGAATGAATAAGTAAAATTAAATAAATAATTATTAAAAAAAAAAAAAAAGAAAGAAAGAAAGAAAAATATGCCAGGTTTGTGTGTGTCCAAAATTCCAAGAGGAGAATTGAGAGGGAACTGAGGTGTGACCATCCCCCTGGGGAGGGTGCTTTCTCATCTCCTCCTCTCCCTTTCTCTGCTTCTTTCCAGCAACTTCATATACTCTATGGAAAAAAAAAAAAAAAAAAAACAGAAAATGCTGCCATTAAAATTTTAAAAAGAAAAAGACTCTGCCATTAAAATAAAAGGTGTGCTGGCCCTGTAGCCTCATGTTTAAGGGAGCTAGATCCCACATTGCCGACCAACTCCTGATCCCAGCAGTCTGAAAAACACATGAGGCAAGTGTGTGCACATGCCCCAAAATCCCAAGAGAATGGAGAAATGGACACAAGATTGAGACATGACCATGTCCCGTTGGGGAGTGCTTTCCCCTTCTCTCTCTGGCAAGCACTCATGCCCTAAATATAAACATATATTAAAAATGTGTATGTTTAAAAGGTCTCAAAGGGTATGCATCAAACCACGGTTAAGGCGCTGGACTCCCACATGGCTAGAAAGTTCTATATTTACAAGGTAGTGCTGAATTTTTGTTTCAATAAGCATTTGCTATTTCATTGTATTTAACCAATTAATTTTTGTGAAATCTAGCATAGAATCAGAGGTCAGGATGGATAAAAACAGGGGCCTGGAGGCTAGCAGGTGGTGTGGTGGTTAGGGTGCTGGACTCCCACATGGTTGACCATGGTTCAAATCCTGGACCTGGGGACTTGTTTTCTCATCCCACCCCCCCACATCTCTGTATCTCTCTCTGGTGACTTCACATGCCCTGTAGCAAATTAAAAAATAATAAATAATTATTTAGAAAAAAACAACAACAGGGCCCTGGGTTAAGTGGCACAGGAAGGGCTCCTCACTCCTGCAGTCTGTGCATGACACATCAGTCAGGGTGGTGGGGCCCTCCGTTCCTTCCCCTGAGGGCCTGGGGTCACCGTTTCTCTTCCTCATCCCAGTGATTCAGTCTGAAGGACTGGGGTTGAGGCCGAGCAGCTGAAGGTCTAGAGAAATGAAAGACACAGTTCTATGAAAGGCTGAGAGTAAAAGTGTTAGACTTTAAGGGACATACAATCTCTATTGCTACTATTCTGCTTTTTATTACTACTACTATTACTATTTGCACAAAAGCAGCCACAAGGTAGTGCAGGGGCAACACGCTGCTCAAGTGACGCTGGACCCCTGTGAAAGCCTGTGGGTTCAGCCCTCTGGCCAGCCTGTACGCACACACTGGGCAGGTGCACTCATGACTGTGGCTGGCTCGGGAGGCTGGGAGGAATGGCTGTGTGACACTGTAGAGGGTGTCTGTTTATCTCTCTGTAGTTCACTCTCACAAAAAAAGTAAATAAACTATTCATTAAGAAAAAAAAATGGTACCAGCAGTTAGCGTAATGGCTATGTCGCTGGACTCCCACGTAGTCGACCGCGGTTTGCGTCCCGGACCCAGTGGCTTAGAACTCCCGCTGGGCACGCGTGCGTACATGTCCAAGATCCCAAGAGGAGAATGGAGGAGAAGGGATTGTGGCGTGGCCATCCCCCCTGGGGGGTGATTTCTCGCTTTCTGTCTCTATGTCTCTCTCTGTCTGTCTGGCGAGTGCACGCACCCTATAGTGAAAATCTTTCCAAAAAAAAAGAGCAGCCATAGGGGCCAGCAGGTGGTATGGTGGTTAAGGCACTGGATTCCCACGACTGACCACAGTGTAAGTCCCAGATCTGGCAGCTTCAAAATCATGTCCGGTGCATATATGTGCGTGCCCAAAATCCCAGGAGAATGGAGAAGGGATTGCAGCATGACCATGCCCCCTAAGGGGTGATTTCTCACTTTCTCTCTCTCTCTCTCCAGTGAGCACACATGATTTACCGCAAAAACCTAAAAGAAAAGAAAAGCAGCAATAGGCAATACGTAACCAAATGGTCACCATAGCAGTCAGCAGGACCTTAGCTGCCGATCTCTGGTCTACTGCACTGGTACTTGCTCCTGGGTGCTTATTAGCATCACCTGAGGAATGGGCTCTGTGGCCTGGTTAAGGCAGCCAGATCCCACATGGCCAGCCATGTGGCTGGAGACCCAGTCCCAGAGGCTTGAGAAACAAGCCAGGAGTGTGTGCCCAAAATCCCAAAAGGAGGGAGAAATGCAGGAGATGTGACCATTCCCCCATTCCCCATGGAGGGCACCTTCTCCTCTCCCTGTCTGTCTCTGGCAAGCACACATGCCCTCTAGTAAAACAACAAAAAAGTATCACGTGGCGGGGGGGGCCACTTGAAACTACTAAAGCCCAGCCCCACCCTTCAGATTCTCAATCTGGGTTAGGGCCCAGGTTTTATTTTTAAGCTACCTGTTGATTCTGATGTTCGTTCTCAACTGAAACAATGGTTTCATTTTGCTTTATGGTTTTTTTTTTTTTTTTTTTTTTGTATGCATTGAGAGAGATTTTTGCTATAGGGCACATGTGTTCACCAGAGAGACAAAAAGCAAGAAATCATGCCAAGGGGGGATGGCCACGCCACAATCCCTTCTCCTCAGGATCTTGGGCACATGCACACATGCCCCTGGCATGAGTCCCAAGTTCCCAGGTCTGGGACTCGAACTGTAGTAGACTACATGGGAGTCCAGAGATGAAACCACTACACCATCCGCTGGTTCCTTGCTTTCTATTTTTGTTATGGGGTACATGTGCTTGCCAGAAAGAGACAGAGAGGGAAAGTAAGAAGTCACCCTCCAGGGGAGTTGGCTCACTGCAATTCCTTTTCCTCTAATCCCCTCTCCGGATTTTGGGCATGCACTGAACAGGTGCCCAGCATGATTTTCAAGCCCTGATGTCTGGGTCTTAACCATCATCAGCCATATGGGATCCAACCACTTTACCATGACACCACCCGCTGGCTCCTAAAATAAATTAATTTTTAAAATTAATTTTTAAATTTTTAAAAATTTTTATTGATTTATAAAATAAGACAACTGTTTTGGGTCCACCTGACAAATTAGTGCTTCCAATAGTTTGATTAAATGCTCTTTATTGGATGCTTTTTTTGTGTGCACAGCTCGGTCATCAGGAGTTGTCAACCCATCAAGTCACCCCTTCATCACCCTTGGCTGTGCGGCCACGGGGTGGAGAGTGACCATCACTAAGCCACCTGTGACCTAACCCTCCTTCTCCAACCATTCTCTGTAGGCCCCAGGGTAGTTGCGAGCCCTGTGGAGACAAAGCGGGGTGAGGGGAGGGTGGGGCAGCAGGCAGTCCACCACTCCTTCCCACATGGGAAGCCAGGCCTGGTCCATACCCGGTGTAGCCAAGGCTCTGGGCCAGCTGCGTGGCCTGCAGTCCCCGCTTGCCTATCTGACAGAAGAAAACGAGATTCTCATCTTCCAGCTTTGGCTTCTCGGCGGAGTACAACGCCCGGAAAGCAGCGGGCTCCATCTGCAGGGCACCCTCCAGCTCCGACACTGGGAGGAGGAGTCAGAGGCTGGGATGGGAAGCCTGCAGTGGGCACTCAGGTTCCGAGGTCTGGCCTGGAAGGGCCGGGTCCCGGTGATCCAGCACTATCCAGGGGCCCCCCCACCCCAGCCTCAGGGAAGAGAAACAGCCCAGCTGCCTGGGAGGTGAGCCTCTCCCGGAGCCGCGAGGAGGCGCAAGGCGGCGGCGCAGGAGACCGCCAGGCAGCCCGGAGGTCAGAGAAGCTCGCCTGCTCCTCTCCCCTCCAGGGATCCCCTCAGACTGGATGGGTCAGTTCGGCCGCCAGGATCCTCCTCCAATCAGCCCTTCTGTAGGGAGGCCGAGGGCAGGCTTAAAAATGCAGGACCCCTAGCCAGTGCTTTCCCCACGCCATCCTATGTGAGGCGGGCTCGGTGTTTAAGACCCTCCTGGGCTGTCTCCACTGCCCCCGCCCCGGGGCGCCCATACCAGGGATGTTGAGCGCCCCCGGGATGGTTCCAGCGGCCGCCTCCTCCCGCGAGCGCACGTCGAAGAGCCGGGCCCGGCCGGAGGCTAGGAGCGAACGGAGTTCGGGGAGCGAGACCGTGGGCACTGAGGAAGAGGGAGAGTCCTCAGGGGTGCGGGGTATGAGGCAGGGCAGCCGGGGCGCCCCCCCTCGCCTGGCAGCGCCCCAGTACGGTGCAGGTGTGCAGGAGGACCTCTCAGCCGCGTCCCTCCGCCCTTCCCTCCAAGAACTCTTCCATCCCGGACACCTCCGCGCACTGCCAGGGGTCCTATGTCGGACAGCCCCCAGGTCTCCCCGCAGGTACCTCCAGCCATGGTGCGCGCTGCAATACGGAATAGCTGGAACGCAGCCCCGGCCCGCCCCCTTGGCTTGCCCTGCATCCTCCAGCTCGTTCCCGGAGGCGAGACCGGAACCGGAAGTGAAGACACGCCTCCTGCACCACCACCCCTCCTCCCGCGGCACCTGTTGAAGGTGCTAACACCTGCTCACTGGAGAAATCCTCGAGACCGTCCAGCGTGAGCTAGAAACGAGGTGTGGGCCGGCCCAAGTACCAGGACTCAGGGTGATGAATATAAGGACAGCACCCCACCCTACACTGGGCCCAGCTCTTACAGGTCAGAGAGCAGTGTGTCCCCACCCTTCTGCCCTAGGGCCCACAAAGGGAGGGAAGGTAGACAACCATGGTTCTTAACAATTTTATCTTTAAAAAAAAAGAAAAGAAAGAATGAAAAACAAAAGAACCACACCCACGAGGGGGAAGGCCCCATGTGGGCCCCTGCTTCTTGTTCTCCCTGGCTTGAGACCTCTCCAGAGGCCTTGGCACTCCTGGCCAGCCTCCTCTTGAAGGGGTAGAAGCCACGACTAAGCATGCTTCCCCCACTGCTTGCTTCCACCTGGTCCCAGCGCACTTCTGAACCCAGCTCCGAAAAAAGGAAGAACCGATGGAAGTGCCAGAGTCCTGGGCCAAGCCAGGGCATCACCTGTCAGCAGAATCTCGCCGGGCCCCCTAAGCAAGCACAGGGCAAGCCCCCAGTTGAGGATGTCCAGGATCCAGCATGGGACAGCACATGCATTGTGCAAGAGGGGCACAAGGGCCCGGGGGCTGCATGGAGGGGGAGGGCGAGGCTGTCAGTGCATGTCCACGTGTGTTCACCCCACTGCAAGTTGCCACACCACAGGGCCTCCATTCAGACACGCCTTCCGAACTCCCCCCAGTGCCATGCCAGAAGTGGGTGGTGAAGGAAAGGGGCACGGGTTCGCCTGCTGCTCCTGGGCTGTCTGCAGTCCTCGGGCTGAAGCCCCGGGTTCCCCAGAGTTAGTTGCTGTCATTCTTGATGACGACCTCTAGTCCGTGGTGCCGCAACTGAGCTCGCAGCAGCAGGTTCTTGTTTTTAAGGTCTTCCACCTGAGCGGGAAGGAGGTGAGAAGGGGAAGTGGAAGAGGAGGTGGCCAAGCCAATCCCCTGAACTGACCCAGACACACACAGGAGAGGGCAACAGGTGAACCCCTCTCTGTTGAACAAAGCTGGGAGTTTCACACTCGATCAGTGGCTACGGGGGTGGAGGAGGGGTGCCTGGAGGGAGGAGCTGACCTGCTGTCGGAGCACGTCGTTGTCCAGCTGCAGCTGATCCAGCCCCTGCAGCTCTTCAGACAGCCGGTGGTTACTCTGCCGCAGCTCCTGGATGTAGTCGCAGGCTTTGGACAGAATCCCTCCTTTACTCTGCAGGACAAAGCCAAAGAAATGAGGATCCCAGTCTTCATTTAAATTACAAGGGGTCTTGGGACCAGCAGGTGGCATAGTGGTTAAGGTGCTAGACTCCCACATGGCCAGCTGCAGTTCAAGTCCCGGACCTGGTGGCTTCAAACTCACAATGGGTGTGTGTGTGTGTGTGTGTGTGTGTGTGCCCAAAACCCCAAAAGGAGAAGGGATTGTTGTATGACTATTCCCCTGGGAGGTGATTTCTAGCTTTCTCTCTCTCTGTCTCGCTTTGTCTCTCCTGTGCACACACCCTATAGCAAAACTCTCTCAGAAAAAGGGGGAGTCTTCAGAAACCTCGAGGGAAAATGTATATACGAAAATCTATGCATGGATTTCAAATTTTTGCATCAAAATTACTCATACTTCATTATTATTATTATTACTATTATTTTAGGTTTTTGCCATAGAGCATGTGTACTCACCAGAGACAGAGAGCAGGAAGGTAAGCCATCACCCCCCACTCCCAGGGGAAGGCCACAATGCAGTCCCTTCTCATCTAGTCTCTTCTCATGATTTTGGGCACACATTCACATGCACCCAGCGTGATTTTCAAGCTGCTGGGTCCTAGACTCAAACCATGATGGGCCATAGGGAGTGCAGCACCTTAACCTGCACGCCACCTGCTGGCCCTAAACTCAAACTTTAAATTCCAAATTCCATGAACTTTTTGAAGTACCCATGTATCTAGCTTGCTTCCCCCAAGCATGCTCACACTCTGAAGCTCATTTCCCCTGAGGGTGCTGGTGTAACACCTCCCAGGGGTACAGGAACCTCAGAGAGGGGTAACAAAAGACAACTGCGCAATGTGCCCCTCTCTCGCTCCCATTCTTTCTTTTTTTCTTTTTGCTATAGGGCCTGTACTCTTGCTAGAAAGACAGAGAGAGACAGAAAGTGAGAAATCACCCCCCGGGGGGATGGCCACACCACAACCGCTTCGCCTCCATTCTCCTCAGGATCTTTTTTTTTTTGGAGAGGTTTTTCATTATAGGGCACATGTGCTCACCAGACAGACAGAGAGAGACAGAGAGACAGAAAGCGAGAAATCACCCCGCAGGGGGGATGGTCACGCCGCAATCCCTTCTCCTCCATTCTCCTCTCGGGATCTTGGGCACGCACGCACACGCGGCCGGCATGAGTTTTAAGCCACCGGGTCTGGGACGCCAACCGCGGTCGACTATGTGGGAGTCCAGCGACATAGCCATTACGCTAACTGCTGGTTCCCTCTCCTCAGGATCTTGAGCACACACGCCCAGCAGGAGTTTTAAGCTGCTGGGTCCGAGACTCGAACCACGGTCAACTACGTGGGAGTCCAGTAACGTAACCATTACACCATCAGCAGATGGTCCCTCTCGCTCCCATTTCTGACAGTAGCAGGAGAAGGAATTCAGGTGTCCACCCACTTCCAGGGTCTGTCCATGACCTGGCCAGACTTGGTGCTCTCCATGGAACAGTCTGGGATGATCTTGGACAGCTGCACGATCCAGTTGTTGATTTTGTCTCGGCGGCGGCGCTCCACTGTGGGGCAAAGAGGAAGACTGGGTGACTCAGTGAAAACTCACGTCAGGCCCCAGGGTGAACTACTCACCCTTCCTCCCCTCAGACATCACTGCTGTTCCCAGTCCCGACAGGCAGCTCCGAGCTCCACATGGGGACAACGCCTACCTTCATTATGCTGAGCCCTGCGTTTCTCGTCTCGAGTCGTCCGAGGAGCCTCTGACTTCCTGACAACAGAGCCCACGAGGGCCAGAGTAAGGGAGGAAACAGCTCGGTTGGAGTTTGGAGTAAAGAATTATGTAAGACGCAGCAGGTATTAGATCCGCTCATGGTCACCGAGAAGAAACAAAGCCACTCACGGGGAGTAAGGGTGGGTCCTGGGGGCGATCGAGCGCTGGCTTCCTCCCTGCAGTACTTCTTGTGGTGACATCATCACGAAGAACTGACCTGGGCAGATGCAGGGTAGGTTCTGTGAGGACAAGGGACTAGGAACGTCCCCTCCCTAAGCCCAAGGCTGGGACCCATCTCTAAAGAGATCCTGCTTCTTCCTGCGAGAAAAGCAGCCCCTCACCTACTGCCTGCTCAGCTAGCAGTCACAGGGCCACGAAGACCTGCTGCCCACCAGTCACGTCCCCTGCCCACCAGTCACGTTCCCCGCCCACCCCAGCCCCTTGGCCGGATCCTCATGCAGCATCTCACCAGTGCCCGGAGGGGTCGCTTGCCCCAGCAGTGCCTCTGAGCCCTGGGTGGTAACGACAGCAGCTGTACTCCCCGACGTGGTGCCCCCCGCCCCATCTCCCACTGCAGTGCTGGGGAAGTACGTATAGTGCGTCTCAGCAGCTGTGCCCTCGGTGTCGACTGCGTCATCACTGGTGAAAGCACCCTGGATCACCGCCTGGGAAAGGGAGCAAGAGAACAGGGTCCAGAGGCGGTCAGACACTTCTGCCCCTTGGATCTCTGCTTCTACTCCTTGGGAGAGAGAGGGAGAAACATCCAGAAGGGAGAGCCTAGCGCCTTGGGACGAAGTAGCCCTGCATGCCTCACCAGTCCTAGCTTCACCCCAGCCCACTGTTCCTTTTTCATCTTACTGCTCAGCGCGCCAGTCCCCTCCCCAGCCCACATCCCTGTACCTGGGTCATGGACTGAGTGGCAGGGGAGA